TTCAAAGCCTTGAAATCAGTGTATTCAAACAGCTAATGTGGATCTCAATTTACAAATGGATATATGAGAAACACTGGATCAGACCATCCTTCTACATCCCTTATTGTCTCTGGTGAAAACAAGTAGGATTTAAATAATCCCTTCCAAATGTTAGTTTTTACCTCTCCATAAAAACTAAATTAATGCAATAAAATTTCCATGTAGGTAATCGATTTCTTCAGCTGGATCATTAAACAGAGCTCAGGGTATAGCCATGTCTCTATGACCTAGTCATTCGCTGAAACAGTACAGGATAATTCTGCATTTTAAAGCTTATTCCTCCCTACGTTTCCAAGGCTGCTGGCAGAACAAGCATGCCCAAATTTGAATGACAGTGGAATAAATGCCTCAAACCTGCTTTTTACTCCTAGAGCCTGCCAGTAACAAAGCTTGCAAGCATGCTTAAAAAAAAAAAAAGGAGGAGGGGGGGAAGAATCACAAAAGATTCCTAAAATCTCAGCAAAATGTTAGTGAACAAAACTCTAAGCTGAAAATCACAGTGCAAAGGCATTTTGCTATTTAGAAAGAGATGAAATAGGATCAGACTTACCTGATATAAAGGAGAATATGCAGGAGAAGGAGATGAACAGATTTGTGCAGCTGCACCTTTTATACCATGCTTCAGATTGGCTGGGGGAGTCTGAGGCACACAGCACACATGAAGTCATAATCACCGGCCAGCCCAAATTTGTAGTATATTTAACTTCTGCAAGTGATGAAACTGTTTTATTTGCTGTTTACAGAATCACCCTAAATCTCTAAATAGCCTGATATGCACATTCCAGCTCCCGGGTTTCTTTCATCTGGGAGCTTAATTGACCAGCTGCAATTCTGGTATCATTCCACCCTCCCCACTGGGATTGCAGGAGGAATTAAACTGGTTCTATTTATTTAGCACTTCCTTCATTAACTTCCCGTAATGATTTTAATCAGAGCTATAACCTACTGTAATACATGCCTGTACTTAACCTCTTCAGAGCTAGGCTATAATCTAATCTATTCACACAGTTTGCAATTAAATTTTCGGTGAGGTAGAAAACATCTGCCACTGAACAAGAGAGTGATCCCGTACCAATAGGAACCCACAGATGCTGGCGAATGGTCTTTGGCTCAGGATTTTTTAATTGCTCTTGCTGCTTGGGGAGACCAGCAGAAGATACGTTATTTTAGTAATTGAAACAGTGTTTAAACAGAAAATTGTATTTTGCTCTGAAGGGATATGACACCATTACTCCAGGATTAGGGGTGCTTTGAGGCAGCAGAACTTAAGCAGAAATCTGTACTCCAGACATTCCAGGTTAAGTGGCAGTAAAAGCAAGAGTAATATCCAGAGAATCACTGCTACAACGGTGGATTTTTTTTCTTTTCTTTCTTTATTTGTTAGCAAGACGTTACCTGCAGAATGCATATTGTTGCAGAGCCCAATTTTGACTCCTCAGATTTCAAGTGACTTGTCTAAGCTATATACTCAGGCTTCCTTAAAAGCTTTGCGAGCAATGACAAGAATTACCGCAAGGCAATTCATCCTGTCTCAGATGCTTACCTGAAAAGGGGTTGTAATGTCCTCAAAACATGCTAATTTTGTCCCTTTGACGACTGAGATACTTGGGCAACAAGCTCAAATGAAACATGGTTTTTAGACAGGGAAGTTTTAATGAGATGTATCTGGGCCATATTCTCGTATTCCAGAATCCTATCCAATAAATAGTGCCTGGCCAAGCCTCAGGTTTCCTTATTTGCCTATGGATGTTATCTGCTAAATAGCAAACATTGCAACATTTCTACCATTAATTATCCTAAAATTATAAGGTTCTTTTTCTCCAGAACTTTGAGATGGCCCTGGTGGATCACAAGAGCAATAGCACTCACAAAGGGTGTTCCACAGTTTTGCGCGAGTTTTTTAACAAACCCTCGTTAATGACTTACACAAACTGATGTGTCATTATTATAGCACAAGTATGTAGTTGGATTCAAGCAGCCCAGCATTTTGAAACATATTCTTAAAATTGTACTAGTCTAGCGCACTCGTCGTGTTCCCTTAACCAGCTCATGATTAGAATTTCAGGTCAGTTGGTTTCTTTTTAGAAAGTAGTTTTTGTTTATTTGTTTATTTTTGTGTACAAGCTCCTTTAACGCTGATATTTGAATTCACTGCTCTAAGTTGATGCATCCACTACAGCGTCACTGGAAAAATGTTCTGCAGCGCCTACATCTGTCCTCGTGTTTCCAAAGCTTTTCCTAGGCTATTCCAAGTCTACCTGCGAGCTGCCTGCCTTTCTTTTGTGTTACAAACACACGCGTGGCTTCCTCAAGAAATATATTTAGCGAGTTGCCTGTAATCTGGCTAAGAATCTGTTTATCTTTGTCGTGGATTTTACCTCTAAGACATAAGGGATAGCAGGATCGGATAGTGTGGGAGGCAAGGCACAGGCTGGGGTGATTTAAGAAAATATTTTGTAATAAGCCTTTTGATTTTTCCACTGAAATGGTGCAGGATGGTCCTGTTCAAATGTGAATTTGAACCTCATATAAAGATCACTGATCTCACAAGAAAGACACTATGTTTTGCATCAATTACACTTTATTTGGCATGAGTAAAGAAGGATGGAAAGAAAACCTGCATATGACAGCAGATGGCAATTATGATTAACATCCTTATGTCAGCTCAATAAAATAAGTAAATAAATGAAGCCAGCATAATTCCTACTGTCATTCTAATGCAGTTAATGGCGCGTTACCGGGAATGAATGTTGCCAGTTAAGTGTTAAGATGAAATAAATGTTTGCTTTGTCATTTGCATTTCATGCAGCATGAGAATTTGAATCAAATAGTAAAAATCAATATTGAGCAAAACTATTTCATCATTTTGTGGTGAATGATGTGCAATAAATATGGGTTGTTGTTACTGTGAGCCTCAGGTCCTTCAGGCAGTTTGAGGAACTGTATAAAAAGTCCCTCTTCCAAACCCTGTTGTATTTACTTTTCTTGCCTTTTTCTTCTTGGACTCATTCATTTTCTAGATACAAAACTGTTCCTTTTTTGTAAGCTTAAAGTAATCCTTTTTTGTCATTTATGAGGAGGTAATGTTATTTATAGGTTTTTAGGGCTAGGCTGGTATTTTCCACAATGTATTGCACAGGAGCTATCAGCTTTCCACTGGGTCAAATCTCAGGGATATAATCTGCTAAACAGCTATGAAAAGCCAGGACTGCAGAACTACAAGCTGCACTCACTATACTCTACACCACAAAGGCCTCAATCACAGCCATGTTTAAAAGGGGATAACTAATTTCTAGTTAGCTTCTGATAGTTAATTACTTGATCCAGCTGCACTTTCTAACTAATTTAAGTGGAAGAAAGCCAAAGTTTGTAAGAGATGTAAGTGAAGCTTTCTTACTCAGCGTAGAAAGGTCTTCCAGGCATTAGGAGCCAGGTATGCCTTTGGGCAGTTATTCCATAATGGATAGTGTCTGGATTTTTGCACATAATTTCAGACCAAGTAGAGCTGGCTTTAGTCAGAGTCAGGATAAGAGCAGCCATTTGTATGATGAGGCATATGACCTTCTATAGCCCTATGTTTCCACTAAGCAATGATTAACCATCACCTAAAAATTATTTTTCCTACAGGACTCATACAGATTTGAGAAATTATGTTGATCTGACCAGGTAGACCTTAGCCAGGTAGCTGCAGTTAGGTAGGACAGATCAGGGGCTAAATTAGTGCTGCGAGGAATCTACACAGTTCTACGTTTCCCATTACCATGGGATGTAAGCTTTTCCTCCTGTTCCAGGGGAACGTGTGCTGTGTTAATTCACACTTCTCATCATGTTTCTGATCGACCTTCATTGTAGAGAGATGCTTTGCTGTGATGTTTACCCCATGAACGCGTCAAGCACTGGTGCCCAGGGCTGCGAGGAGCCAGCGCCCTGACTTCAGGGCAGTGACTCAGCTGCCATCACTGTTGCCATCACTTTTCCAGGCCAGCTCTAGCTGTTTAGTTCCTTCCTTCAGGACAATGCAGCGGGATCTTTGTCAGCACCAATACTTAAGGGCTCCTTTTGTCCTGGGAGCTTTGGCTAGTCTCTGTCAGAACAGACTTTCTTATGGATTTTCAGCCCTAGGCAGCAAGCAGTGCATGGACCCAGGCTGATCAGTGCACGTTGGTCTCAGAGCTAGAGAAACACAAATTCTGAGGTTTATTAAATATCAGCTGCCAGTCTTCCATGAAGAACTGTGGTGATGAGATCACTTGTACAATACAGGACTGCAAGTCTGCAGTGGCATAAGCCAGGGCTGAGTTTTCGGTGTGTGATTATGCCCTCCAAGGTATTATCTCACAGGCTCTGACATTTTCAGGAGTGGGGCATCCAATGAAACAGTGTTTTTAGAGCAGACAGCTGTCCTTCTATGGCCAGTGTGTTGTGGCCATATTGTTCCAGTTCAGTGGTGAAATAGGCCTAAGCAAGGGCTCACCACAGAGGCTTTCACTGTATGGGGAGGGTTTGCACAATGTTATTGCAGCTAAATATATATATATAACAGGCAGTTTTATGCAAAGAAGTTGGCAAACTCAGCATGGATGAGAACAGAAAACCACAAAAGTTTTTTTTTTTTAAATGATGCAACAAAAGTTTAATGAGAATGAAAAGAACAAAAATATTTTGCAATATCAAGAAGGTATATTCAAGATGTCCGAGTCAACCACGTTTTGAAAGGCACTACGTTACATGTTTTACTGCATTCAGTAACAAACATGAGAGAGTAGAAGATAGCAAAGAATTGAACCTGGGAAGGTATTGGAGGGGAATTCAAAGGAAAAAAGGAGAGGCACGGAGCATGCAGAGGTGCTGCACTAAACAGGATTTGTGAGTGCTTACACAAAGCTATCACTCATCTGTTCACTGGCAAATCTGCATTTTTTTTTCTCTTGTACCTTATTCAGTGGATTTTCCTGTTATATCTAGCAAGGCCCGCAGCTTCCACGGCGGTACCTGCTGTACCGGTAGGAGAAGGGCCGGCAGTATCCAGCCCCATAGGATCTTCCATAGCCGTAGAGACCCCTGTAACCCAGGGAGGAGGCTCCATAGCCATAGAGACCCCCAGAGCCCAGGGAGGAGCCCCCGTAACCCAGGGAGGCTGCAAGGACGGGTGCTCCAGAGGAGCCCACAACTGAACTCTGGGGGAAGGAGCTGAGGATGGGGCCGGGGAAGGTGACGACCACGGGAGGCGGCTGGATCACAGTTGTTGAGTCAGGGCACTGCCGGACGCACGGCTCGTTGCAGCTGTCAGCGATGGGCTGGGGGCAGGCAATGCCGCAGCTGGTGGGGGCGATGCCGCAGCTGGTGGCGGGGACGCACAGGTCGTAGCAAGACATCTTGCGGGGATGGAGGCAAGTCTGCAAGACACACTGATGTGTAAATAAAAGGCAATAGTTCTACTGGAAAAAGTGTTTAAAAGTTGCACAGGCAGACTAGAATAATGGCTTTCTCTTTCAGTTCTTTATTTTCCTTCCTCTTCGGTTTTATTCGTGTGATGCCTCTTCCTCTTGTAAAAATCAGCACTGCTGAAATTGCAGGCTGTCTAGTCATCATTTTAATGGTCTCATCCTGGTTTCTTATGCTTCATTTTCCGTAAGAAGTAGCTCTTTGTTCTACCCCACTATCAGACATTGTAAAAATATTATCTATCACTTTGCAAGTTACCTTCCACTGTACTTTGCAGCCACTCTTACAGTGTCTGTGCCAAAAAGGTGGTTTCGTCTCTGATTTACGCTAGCAAAAATAAAGAGGAGTAACCTGACAACCAGCTGAGCTCATGTGGTGAATTAATGACTAGCTGGAAGAACAGCTCTGGCATACTGACTTGTAACATGCTTCCAAAAGCAATAACTAAAATCACTTTGCCAGCATGCTAAGCCTGCTTTAAGCAGGATTAAATGAGGCATTCCCTGCCCTAAAGTGCTTGTAAAGTAGCTTGAGAATCACAGAGTGGGTGAAAAGATTATTTACCTGGTTTTCCAGATGGAAAACTGGTACACTTAAACAATAAGGGCTACGTTTCTACTGCGGGTAAGTACGCTGGGATCTGAGCTTTTCTGAAAGAAGAGCTATAGCATCTGATCCTACCTCAAAGAAAATCCATGGTAGAATTAAGACTCAGTACCTCACCCCCCCCCCCCCCCCGGGAACAACAAAGGTTAAAAACAACTTCTGGAGGCCATCTAGTCCAGCTCCCTGCTCAGAGCAAGACAGCATGAAAGTTAGATTAGTTTTCCCTAGTATCACCTCTACATGCCAATATTTCCATAGACAATACTTTTATATTACTCCTGGGTAGGCTGTCCCCTCAACACATACACATATGCAAATATTTAATATCAAAAATTTACATGAAAAATCCTTTAAAAATTCATAGTGGCTTGAAAAAGTTTTCTACCAGTGTATTCAAAGCTGCTTGATAGATTTGATAGCTCATGTTTGCATTAACAGAAAATGACCACTTTTGAAAACCCTGATTTTTAAAACTAAATAAGAAAAATAAATGCACAGAGAAATAATCTAACATTATTAAGACTCTTAAAATACTTACGATTGATTCCCAACCTTCATTAAACTGGCAGAAGAGAGAGATTTTAGATTAGATTTTAGGAAAGAGAGCACATAGAATGACACTTACCCTTTTCGCCAAGGAGAATAAGGCAAGCAAGGTGGAATGAAGAGCCCTGAGTGGGGAGAGCTTTTATACTGTTCCCCAGATCACAGGGATCACCCAAGGTACAATTTGTGCGTGTGCATAATTGGGGCAAACCCAAAACTAATAGGACACGTAGGTCCTCAAAGTTTTGCTGACTAATTGTTTATTTTTTGATTGAAATTCACAGGAAACATGATAGGCACATTTCATCACAGAGGTCTCTTTCATCTCAAATTGTTACATGTCATATTCATTCCTGTTATCATTCCATTCATGTCGTTGGCCATGCAACAGGAATTATGCTAACTCTTTTCCTTAGCTTCTACATTATTAAGGCAATACGATGTGGCTTACAAGGTGACTCATCAGAATTGCTGTCACCTGATGTGTGCAGGTCTTTCCATTAAATCCAGGCTGTCAGATACCTGTTGATGAAATCGAGTTCATCAGAGCAACTATTATGGTTGTAATTAGAAATGTTTATCATGTCCACTCTCAGCTACTTAACATGAGACTAATACAACACCCAAAGGAAACCAGATAAAACTTCCTATGGTCTTTAAATGGTTTTCTATTGTTTGGCTTTTGCTCCTGAGCACAATGCTGGCCACCATCTTATGAACAAAACACTTGCAAAAACAGCTTTTTTCTTCTTGTTCGTGCATTGAGCCCTAGATCATTCTCCCTGTCCTTTTCCTGATCACAAGTAAATCCCTTGGACTATAGTTCTAGGAGCATAGCAGAATGCCAAGGGGACTTTAAACAGAGAGCAGAGACAGTCTCCTTTTATGTTTTGCAGATTTTTCTACCTGATGTCTTTCATTCTATTTCAATCCAGGTCACAAACCAGAGGCGTACCCTTTCTATTCTTAAGATTATAAAACACTTTATTTGCTAAGCATGGGTCACCCACATCATCCAGTCTTCTGTCTCCTGATATAACATCTTCAGGAATCCATCAAAACTCTTTAGACCAGGCAATACTGAAGACAATGGAGAAGAGAATACAGAAATGGAAGCCAGCTGGTGGTAACTTGCTAAAGCTATCTGGAGATATGAAATGATACAGACAGAGCATTCATTTAGTTGCATAAAGGCTGATCACTGGTAGAATTGGAACATTCTGAGCAAATAATCAAATCCTTTGTTTCTGTGAACTGATGTTGTGCAACTGAAAATGACAAAGCTACATTGATTATATAGCTTAAGAAATGCTAGTGGTTTTTAAAGTTTATATTTCATTTTATACTTTTATATTGAAGAAAACTGAAGATGCGCAAATGTCCAGGATTCAGATATGAAGGACACAAATGACCTTGACTTACACATTTTAATGTGATGCCATTTCATAATTGCTAGGCACCAAAATGGTACATTCATTTAGTCTAATTATAAGAGTACATTCCCAAATCATTAGTGGATAGTTTGTGTCATTTGAAAAGACTTATTCCCTAGAAGCTTGGAAATATTATTGTCCAGGAAAAGCTCTAACCACCTCAAAGGCCAAAAACCCATCTCATAATTTAGAGATAATTTATGGCATAGAATCTACAGTGTTAAAATAATACATAGGTAAACAAGGGAAGAAACGATCTTTGTTTCGGGTGATATGTTCCAAGTTCATAATTGTTCCCTATTTGCAGAAACCGCCAGCTCAGCCCAATTTGGACTTGTGGCATGCAGTGACAATACTGTATTACAGAAGGTCATCAATTCCTCAGAGTCGAAGTTAATAATTCAAAACACTTTATCAAATTTCTCTTTTAACACCTGAAGATCCTTTTGTACTGAAAAAGCTCAAGTTTCCTCAGGACTATTAACTATTCTCAAGTACCATTTATGCACTAACAGTATCAAACAAGCAATACCTGAAAAAATCTGTTTGGCTCATCACTACAGATCAGCACAGTAATCCCATTGTACCTTTATTTAACTAAGAAACTCATTGCATGTCCATCTCTGGAAAAAAAAAAAAACCCAAAAACCCAGGAAAATAAAGGCTTCTCCTCTGTCTCCTATATGAAATCGTACAGACCTTTTCCCATGCATTTCTGATAGAGAGTATAGCTATCTGAGTGATTCATGAAAGGAGAAACTAATTCAGTTAACATATGTACGAAAAAGAGCTTCGAACACTCCAAAACTAAGGATTGAACTGTCTTTCTACTCAAAATTAAATTTCAATTTCCATATAACCCCTATCTAAAAAGCTAGCTGAAGCAAGCCTTACAGGTGCCTGGAATCGCTGCTGCTCTTTGGAACAGAATCGTTCCCATTGCAGCTAGAGGGAAATACCCTTGACAGACGTCATCGGCTCCCGAGGGTGCCGTGTCCCCCACCTGTGGGTGGGGAAGGTAAGCATGCAGAAACCATCTCCAAACTTCCTGCATGTTGCATTCACAATCTTTAAGTTCTGTCCTGGCAGATTGTAATGTGAATTATAGGTACTTAAACAAAAATCTTGTCCATGACAGCAGTTTGTGATTCTGAAAAACATATGAGACACTCTCTAGGCGTTAAATTAATATGAGTGGAGCTGGCTTAATTTCTGTCCTAATTCCAAAGAAGTGACTGGAATGATGCCAGGTATTAATTTTCCCCAAGACACAAGATGAAAGAATTCTCTGTAATCTAATATAATGTTTAGGTCCTATTACAGAAGAATTTGAAAGGGCTCATAAACTCTAACACTGAGCAAAGCAATTTCATCATCTTTACAGTTTACATGTGCTTGAAATTTGCGCGGGCAAACAGTTTTGATCTTATACTTCCAGGTGCTCTGATAAACTATAAAAGCTCTCCTCTCTCATAGCTTTTCCACACACTTCCCTTGACTTCTTTGTGACTTGGGTAAGTCTGATTCTTCTCTATATCTACCAATATATCTTTTTACTGTGGGTTTCAACTTCAGCTGATGTCCAACATCTATACTGTAGAGTTTTTCTGCACTGCATTGGGATAGAGATCCCAAAGCTGGCTCTGGGTGGGCAGTTACACCCATTTTGTTCATGGAATACTGTAGAGGTCCTAGCTTAGCATCAGAACCCCTGGGACATGCGCAGTACGAGCTGGAATGCATTTAACCTGTTCCAAAGGTTTGCATACTGTGCGATTCAACTTTTAGTAAGGATGTCACCATTACAGCTGATCATACAACCTGAGATGAACAAGCCATGCATCTGTGAAAGTTCTCTGTTCTCTTGGTCCAGCAAATGCTCTTACTCTACTTGATGTTCTCAATTCCATGTTCTTCCTCAGAACAATGCTGGGGACTTGCAAGACATAGTGGGTAGAGAAAACTTAAAATATAATGTATTAAAAACAATTATTCAAGCATAAATATCCTTGGAGAAAACAGCTAAATTTAGAGGAAAGGAACTAGACTGAATTCTTGGGGTCACTGAGGAGATTTTGTTTTTCCTGAGACTAGTCATTGAAAAGAGATTTTTGAAAGATGTCAGAGCCAAAAACACTGACTTAAATTGAAAATTGTCCAAACTATCTCAGTACAATGGCTGCCTAATCAGGAACCGGGATAATAACTCTACCATCTGACCTTCTATTGTTCTGTCACATTGCTTTGTGAGCAATCCAGACAGCGAACATTTCATAAGCTATGTACCTAGAACACTCAGCAAAATTGGGATGAGTGGGAAGGAGAAGCTACTGTAATTAAAATATATATAATAAATTACATCTCACCTAGACCCACTGAACTCAAATCCAAGTTTTTCTATTGAATCACCAAATGAATTTGGACAAAGTAAATTTATTTCTCTGTATCAGTTTTCAGTGTTATGTGTAGATATTTATCTAAATTCTTTGCAGGATCTTTGTGAGGGAAAAGAATGTCAGAGCTAGACATAATGTTTCTCATGTGCTTTTATATGTATAGACACTGTTTTTATCAGAGTTTTCAAAAGTTTCCTTTTTTTAAAAGACAGGATTATGAAGTAATAAGAGAGCTGATTTGCAGACTGGGAAATCCATCTATTTACCCAAAGTCCTATACTCTACTATCACCTTAATGCAAAATGTGATAATTATTTTTCTCTTCAAGTCTTTTCTTTCTGTTTAGTCTACTGATTAGTGTGTCTTGCAGACTTGCCTCCATCCCCGCAAGATGTCTTGCTACGACCTGTGCGTCCCCGCCACCAGCTGCGGCATCGCCCGCCCCCAGCCCATCGCTGACAGCTGCAACGAGCCGTGCGTCCGGCAGTGCCCTGACACGACTACCGTGATCCAGCCGCCTCCCGTGGTCATCACCTTCCCCGGCCCCATCCTCAGCTCCTTCCCCCAGAGTTCAGTTGTGGGCTCCTCCGGGGCACCCGTCCTTGCAGCCTCCCTGGGTTACGGGGGCTCCTCCCTGAGCTCTGGGGGTCTCTATGGCTATGGAGGCTCCTCCCTGGGCTCTGGGGGTCTCTATGGCTATGGAGCCTCCTCCCTGGGTTACAGGGGTCTCTACGGCTATAGAAGATCCTATGGGGCTGGATACTGCAGCCCTTTCTCCTACCGGTACAGCAGGTACCGCCGTGGAAGCTGCGGGCCTTGCTAAATCCTGCAGAAATAACCCCTGAGTGAGGAATAACTGGCAAGTGAGAGATACGGTCCTGATCCACAGCAGAGTTCCCCCAGAAGTGCTGCAAAGTACTGATCACTACAATCCCACTGCAATGGAGCTGGAAGTGCACAGCACATCTTTAATTTTTTCACCCTCCACTTATGGTCTTTCTGTTTTTTCCACCTGTGTGTGTAACTGATGGGGTGAAATGTATAACTTAAATTCCTGTGAAATGGCTCTTCAGTTTCTAACAGAAGAAGAGCTATAAAATGAACTGTCATCACTCTGCTGCTTATTCTTGCAACTTTGCAATGCTTTTTCTGCAAATGTTCATTCTCAATAAAATTATTCTACTTTGCATCAAAGAATTAGAATTTTGGTTTTCATTTCTCCTGTCAGGGATAAAAATTCTCCACTCTGCAGGCACTTAAGAAGGGGGAGCTGAAGGGAAAAACTCAAGTCCTCACATAGGATGAGGTTCAGACTTCAAAAACACAGCTGAAATGGCCCAACCATCAATGAGGTCAATCTGCTTTTGCTGTGCTCAGTTTGTTACTGGCATTTGCAAGCAGGAATCTTCCCTCTCCAACTGGGCTGGGTCACTGTAATAACAGTGTTTAGAAAATAGCTACACTCAACTCCCCTTCCCTAATGAGCCACTTGGACCTCTTCCCTGGTCTGAGCAGGAGCCACTGTGGTGGCTGTGGTGAGGTAAGATTCAAAGCAGATTATGAGGGAATGGGTTGCAGCTCAGGGAGGAGCAATGTGCCTGAGTGGGAAGGGATTTAGGGAGGTTGGGAGAGGTGGGCACAGGGCATCAATGCATGGGGCAGCTGAGAGGGCAGACAGGAGGCTATGGGGTGGACAAAGGAAACTCCCAGAGACGGACAGGCTGTCGAAGAGACCTCTCAGGTGAGAAATATTGTAGGGTCCTTTGTCAGGAGAAGCTGGAAGTCAGAGCTGCAAAAAAAAAAAGGGGGGGCTAAAAATGGCATTTTCTGATGTAAAGGCTTTTTATGAAGACAAGATGAGGAACCATGGGGAGTTGCATATGCAATGGTAGTGTAGTTCACTCTCTAGCTTAGAGCTGGAAAAACGTATACAGGCTTATGGTCTTTTCTACCTTTTAAGCTCTCTAGCCATCATAGTTATATCCTTTCTACCCTTTACTTAGATATTTTGGAGACTTACCTTTCTTTCTTTAAGATTTTGATCGAAAACTAATTCATTTTTCTGCAGAGATTGTCACTGAGGACAGAGTTTCAGTATTCAGGTGATCACCTGAAGTTCAAAGAGATGAATCAAAGGCTTACTTGGAAGAACTTTTTACTAAATTCTGATTATACATTGTTTTTAGGAGGAACTTTAAATGTATCGATATATTTTTCATCTCTCTATCAATACAAATCTGTAATCAGTGGCTATACTACCTTCACCTTTCCAGGAAGCCAAATTTTTCAAAAGTTTTGAGAGTATGTATGTGAAAAATGGCGAGAGGGAGAGTAGGACAAAGTTCTTCTGTGCTGAGGGCTTGCATGCTGCATTTGTGCATTTACAGTCTCTGATTTTCCTCTTATTTTTAGCAGGGCATTTCTCTATATAGTGCAGACTTATTACTGAACAGGTATATAGGTGAGACTTCTTATCATACAAATAATTAGGATAAATATATGAGGGAAAAAAACACCAGAAAGTATGACTTTGATGCAGCAAACTTTTAATGATACTGAGAAAAGAATACATTTCCAGAGTCTCCAAGAAGTATGAAACTACTCTCCAAGTAGGTATACATTCATAGATTTATCTTTCTTCCTATGTCTTAGATGTTGATTTGGACAAACAGGAACTACACTGAACAATTTTATGTTATATGTTTACCCCAGGCAGCTGGGAAATGTGAGGAGAGAAGTATTAGGTCAGAAACTGAAAGAAGAATTTAAAAGCAGAAATTTCATAGAGGCTGAAGGGGCACAGCTCCACAGTCTTGAATCAAAGCAGTGGAAACTCAGAGCTCTTCAGCCACAAACCCATTGCCTTTCACTTGCCAGTTATTCCTCACTCAGGGGTTATTTCTGCAGGATTTAGCAAGGCCCGCAGCTTCCACGGCGGTACCTGCTGTACCGGTAGGAGAAAGGGCTGCAGTATCCAGCCCCATAGGATCTTCCATAGCCGTAGAGACCCCTGTAACCCAGGGAACCCCCGTAGCCCAGGGAGGAGCCTCCATAGCCGTAGAGACCCCCAGAGCCCAGGGAGGAGCCTCCCTAGCCATAG